CCGAACTAGGCGAACTAACATCAACGAAGAGCTAGGAGCTAGGACATTGAAGTCACATCTCGCTAGTCTTCATTATTTTAAATAGTCATTTGGACTTAGTAAATTTATTGTGTTTTGTGTTAATTAAATAAAAAGTATTCAAATTATAAAGAAAAGTCAAACTCTTGTTCATTTATTTCCAACACCATCAAACGAGCGTAGTCAGATTGTTACAATAATGTAACTACTATTTTCAGAATAATAATTGTCTAATTAGTAGGTATTTTTTTTTTTTTTTTGAACAGTTTTAAACAATATAATGATCAACAAAATAGTTAATTTGATAATTTATATATACACCTAATTGCATAACAAATATTTTAATAATTTTTAAATTTTCGAAAAAAAAATTTAATATTATTTAATGAGAATTCCCATATTTATTACTGTAAAAAAAATGCATTTGAATATATTGTCATATTGATCTTCCACGGAGATAATAATGGTACTTTATACTATAATAAACGTATATTTTATATTATTATAAATTAACAGAATGTAAAGCAGTGATCTTAAACTCAAATTGCCAACGAGCCATGTACATAAAAGATTCACGGTCAAAACACCATTTTAAACTTTTTTTTACTCATTTTAATACTATAAAAAATACAATTTTAATACTAAAAAATAATAAATTAAGACAAAATGTATTTCATTTATTTATTATAATAATTATAAGTATTATAACAAACATTGTCATAACTTGGGCAATTTTAATGGGGGGGGGGGGGAATTTTATTTTATATCGATATACCGTATACTGATATTTAGATATTAAAAAACACTAAATATACATAATCAATGGAAACTGGAAAGCATAATATAATAACATTATCTAAGATAAATCTTTATTGTAGCATGTAAAATTAAATGACATGATGGAAAAAGCTTGATGAGATGATGGTTTATTTAATAAAAACATTCTGTATTTCTATATTCTACCTGTTGCTTTATTTTTAAATAAAATGGAATTTATATTTATACATAAATACAAAGATTATACTTATACATCATTAAAAGTTAAACCTAATATTGTATATAGTCAATACATCAAATACGAGTAAAATATAATACAATTTATCTTGATAGATTATTTTTATCATATTTTTATTAACATCATCGAATTAAATTCTTATTACAAATACCAATATCAAACATTTTATACGTCATATAAAATAGTTTATAGAAAAAATTCAACATTTTTGAAAAAATAAAATATAAATATTTATTTCAGACCATACTGAAATAGTTTGCGGGCTACCTGTTTGAAACCACTGCATTTTAAAGTATTATTACCGTCAAAAAAAACTTCATGGTGGTGATATATAAATAACTACATTCTGCATAGTATAGTATATTGTTAAAATTCAATAAAAATTAATTTAAAAAAAATGTAATTTTGGCTGCACTTATGTGTACAAAATTAAATACATAATACTACATGGTAGAGAAAATAAATATTGCGTTAAAATCATACTCCTAAGTCATATACAAATAAATATTATAGACACATATTATCTAAAATAATTTGTAATTGTAATATTTGATTAATTAATTTATAAAACACATTATGTTTCATCATTATTAAAATATAACAATAAATACAAAAATAAAATAATGAAAATTGTTTTCTTTTAAATTATATTAAATAAAACATAATAAAATATAAGTTATATTCAATTTTATATTGCACATCATAATAATAATAATTATTATTATCATCTATAATACTATAGGTACTACTACCTAATCAGTTACCTACTTACTTTTTTATTGTCCATCTCCATTTAAAAAAATCTATGAGTATAACTGTATTACAAATGAAGTGAATTATAACAGTTAATTGTACGTAATAGCTCTGATGGCAGCTTCACATCGAACTATCGAAGGCAACAGCGTAATGCCCAATGAATGGATAAAAATTATCTTGTAATTGAGTCGTATTAAAAATAGCACAATATCGAAAATATAAATAAATATTGAACCATTTGAACAATATAATTGATAAAAATAACATAGCCTTCTCCGGCGACCGGCGAGTAGTATTAACAATAGAATAAAAATAAAATCACAAATTAAAGGAAACGGAGGGCTATATTTTGTCGGAAAATATTTTGTCTGAACTGTATTTTGTCTGAAAGTGGTTTTTCGGAACCTTATTTTATTGGAACTGTATTTTGTTGGAAAAATAATGTATCGGAAAGTATTTTGTCAGAACCGTATTTTTTTGGTACAGTATTTTGTCGGAAACGTATTTCGTCAAAACAGTATTTTGTCGGAAAAATAATCCATCGGAAAATATTTTGTCGGAAACGTATTTCGTCAAAACCGTTATTTGTCGGAACCGTATTTTCGATGGCGGACAATAATATTATGCGAATCCTATATTATCAGGTTGCAATCCACCTCCGATGTATTGTAGACCCTGTCACTCGTTAGTTGCGTTTGGTAAGTCAACAACTTCACGGAAAATTTAGTTTCAAACTTATATCAATTCTGTTATGTTTACTTAATCTAAACAAACTTTTACAGAAATAGGCGTGCGTACGGGAGTGGCCGGGTGGGCCGTGCCCTCTTGCGGCCTCTGGCTTTTTCTTTAATAAATGTATAGATATCTACTATACAAGATAGTGAACATTTTTACGTTTTATATGAAAAAAGTGAAGACAATTTTTAATCTCATAGCAAGTATAGATATCTATGAATAATTAATGCAATAAAGTTATTAGTTAATCAGTTTATTATTATCGACCAAATGATTTATTATTATCCATCCACTCTGATCAAGCCCGGATTAAGATAATTTTGGGCCCGGGGCCAAACAATTTTAGGGGCCCATATCCATAATCAAAATTTTGGTGACCCACAAATAAAAATATTTCAGAAAAAAAAATATATTCATCAATTTATTTCTTATTTTTTTTTTTAAATACAAAAATAAAAATGTTATTAAAAATATTTTTTTCTAGATTTTTGGGTAGCAAACTCTTTAATTATATCATCGGTATTAATTACTTCCAAAACATCACTCTCTGAACACAAAACCATAAAACTATTTAAATTTTCTTGAGAAGAGCTTGTTCTATACTTGTTTTTTATTCGAGCTAATTTGGAGAAAGCTCTTTCAGCCGAACAATTTGCAATAGGTATGGTTAGATATATTTTAATTGCAGTATACAAATTAGGAAAAGAAATTAATAGATTTTTTTCATTGAAATGCTTCCAAATATCTAGCAGATAATTTTGTGTGTTATCATATGAAGGTTTACTGATAGACCAATATTTTTTAAATTGTATAATTTCATTTTGTATAGTATTATCAACATCTTTTTTATACAATAAAATAAAATTTTCAAGACTTTTATTAACTTCTTCTTCTTCATCAGTATCTTGTGGTAAAACAACATGCAATTTTGTGATGAACAAAAAATTGTTTTTTAGAAAACTATAAGCTTCAATTCGTTTTTCTAATTGTGAACAAAAACTATCTATAATAACATTATAAGTCTTTACTCTAAACTTGTCATGACCACTTAAAGATACCTGATTACAACCAGAGTCATTTGGAAATTTCTTTTTTTTTATTCTCTCTTGTTCATCGGAGTATTTCTCTTTTATTTTAGGACTAAGTTGATTTATTTTATTTTCATATAATGTACTGCACTTCCTCAAATTTGATACATAATGCTTTAATGATATAAGTTAATTAAGAGCTTTTAAAGGATCACAATTTATTGTTTGCAACTGTGTATTGAGGTCTTGTTGGATCTTTCTAAAATGTCATTCCATAAAAGTGCCATGTATCCAGTTTCTTTTTTTAAAATTTTTTTTAATAATGGTCTAGCATTTCTTTTAGTATCTTCATTTTCTTTACTATTAGGACTTATTATAGTTTCTAATACTTCAATAATTTTAGTGTAATTATTTATTAATGCTTTACAAGACTCTGTATGACATGACCATCTAGTATCACCACTATCACTTAAAGATTTTAATACTAGTAATCGATTACTATCACTTTTTTCTATAGATGTAGTTAATATATTCCATCTGTGAGTAGCACTACTGAAAAAATTATACAGTGACTGAAGAAACCCAAAAAAATTTACTGCTTCTAAGCAACAATTCACACTGTGAACTCCGACTAGGTTAAGTGAATGAGCAGTGCAAGGTACATAAATAGCTAAATCACACTTTTTTTTTACATATGCTTGTAGTCCTTCATAAGTTCCACTCATATTAGGAGCATTGTCATATGACTGACCGCGACAATTTAAAATATCAAGTTTAGAATTTTTAAGAAAATCTTCTAACAATTTAAAGATTGACTCACCTTTGTGACTATCAATAGGTTTAAGCTCTAATAATCTCTCTTGTACATTATGTGATGTACAATATCTTAATACTATTGCCATTTGATCTACCTTAGATAAATCCGGAGTTGAGTCCAAAATTAATGAAAAATATTTACTTTCTCTGATTTCATTTTCAATATAATTAATAACACGTCTCTTTATCAGAGTTATTAATTCGTTCAAAATTGTTGTAGATAGGTATGATGGATGACCTCTCCCTTTATTACCGTGCAATTCAATATGGGTTTTCAAAAATGGATCAAACTCAGAAATTAGTTCAAGAAGTCCTAAGTAATTTCCATTATTTTTTACTCCAAATACTTCATTGTCTCCTCTAAATGGTAAACCACGTGAAGATAAATATTTAATAACTGCTACAACGCGTTTTAAAACATCAATCCAATATTGAGTTTCAGTAGATATTTGCTTACAGATTTGTTGATTTACGGAATTTAATGAGTTTTCTCGAAGTAGCCATGTAGTATTTGCTTCTCTGTGATACATGCTGTTTTCATGGTATGATATTTTTTCAAATTTTTTCCACTGATCAAACCCATTTTTTACAAAAGAGTTTTCACGATTCTTTGAAAAAAGCTTACACATAAAACAAAATACTGAACCCTGACTTGGAGAATACAAAAGCCACAGCCGATCACATATTTGTCCATTAGGTAAAGTTCTTTCAAACATTGCAGGCGTTAAATGTCTTTTATGATCTAAAAATCAAATAAATTAACTTAATTATTAAACATCAATGATATATAAACATAAATAAATTATAATAAGAATGTTTTATTAAAAAAAATTCTTTATTGAAAATTATTAAAAAAATTTAACAAGTAATAACAATAAAAATAAATAATGATTAAGTACTATATTTACCACTAATGCGTGCAGATTGAGTATACGATTTTTGTTTATTTTGAAAAAATGATGGTCCTTTTTTAATACAATAATCCACAAAATCATCATTTATTTTACTTGGCCAAAAATATGGATCTTTAACGGTTAATTCATCAAAGCTGTTATCATCAATATCTGCATGATGTATTGTACCAATATTCGTAGTATCCTTAACAGCTTAAATAATAATAAATATTGAAAATAAACCATTAACCACCAAATATTGTGAAAAAAATTAATTTTTATACTTACAAGTAGAATTAGTATTTTCAAGACCATTATTACTTTGATATATTCAAAATAGGTTAGTTAAAATAGTAATTACAAATAACGAATATTTTTTACCTAAAAAAACAAAATATCATTATTACCTACATTACACTTTTACATATTTTCCAATACCTAACTAGTAAATAAAATATTTTTATAACTAGTGAAAAGAAGATCATATGGCAGACAGGCAGAAGAATAATCATTAAGGTCATTAAAGTTCACACTTTTTTTAAAAGTTGAATTTTGTCCGGAGTAACCACAAAAGGACACGTGCCTATTAGATTTCATTAAAAACCGATGTTATAATTACAATGGTTGACATCGGACAATATAGGGGAGTAACCGAATTGGTTCCCGTTTGGCCGAATTGGTTCGGGCGGGACACTTTTCGGCCAAAATGAACCTTTCCCTTTTCGGCCAATTCACTTTTCGGCCATTCCGACATGACCGTTTTCGGCCAGTACACTATTTTGGTCACCAATGACACCAATGAAATATTCTTTTCGCGTCTATGAAAAATAAAAGTTACATTATAATATTAATTTACACAATAAATATAAAATTATGT